CAACTATTTTGCTGTGAAATCATAAATGACAAAAATGTTACAAAGTCCGGATCACCAACTGGAGATTAGCGTAGCAAATGCTTTTGTGGAGATGAGTCTAATAAACGTAAATTACGCGTGAAGATGCGTTTTTTCTGCCATGCCAACGCTTGCGGGTCCAGCAGCAGGAAGATCCGTACGTGGGCGACGGAATAAAATTATATGGGGCTCCGGTTCATGAATCATGTAGTGCACCCAGCCGACTGACTGTTGGATTCCCAGTGCACGCCACTCGCGCTCGGTCATCAGACGATTTTTTGGCATCTTCGCAACCAATTCCTTCGGTAAATGCACATGTCTAAATAGTGAAAGAAAATAACATAAGTACAAAATAAGTTCCTTTATATCTGTGTTCCCTTTAAATAATTGACAGTACCGTGGATGAATTAAGGGTTAAGCAAACTAATTAATTAGCTGACTTCAATAGAAACCACCGCTATCTCAACTGGCAATGGAACGGAAAGTCTTGCAGGGCTTACGCTTAAACATAAAGCAGACGGGAGAGGAACGGTCCCGTGTACACGTACGCAAGATTAATCTTACACTTGCGCTCATTGGTCTTCTTTGGTGAACAAAACTAGATGAAAGAAAGCATATTGGAGTTACGACAAACGGTTAGGCTTCCAATTAAAGTTATTGTTAACAAGAGCAGGTAACCAACCGGATATTAATTTCACGACTAACAGAGCATGCAGAAAACTGTATTCATTCGCATCAACGGGTTACCATTAAAATCCTATATTTATAGCTTTCATTTAAGTCCTAACCGCTGTAAAGCACATTCTTCGAACTCTTGATAAGGCCGACGATAGCAAAAGGGTCGCAAAACTCACACTGTTGTGCCTTACCTGTATTCATACTTATCGTCATAATATTTCTCGGAGTAGTATATGTTCCTGTCACTCATTCCCGTGAGATGGCGCAAAATTCCACACAAACCAACTCTTTGTAGCGAGCCAAGAACTACACTTGAACTTGGGTATCCGGCGCCGAAGCCAGTGTTTTACCGAATCGAACAATGCAATATTCGTGAAAACTTCATCATTTAAACCGTTCGAACTATCAAATCTCAAGTAATTGAAGTCAAACTATTCTGAAAGACAATAGCATACTCGATGGTAGGCGAATTTGCATAAGCGCATGCTGCAAAAGCGCAATCTGTAGAAGTTATCTAAACAATAGCAGGTCAAATTTCGTGGAACGACACCGACCAAATAAAAAATGCCACGGGAAATCTCACGGACGCCGCTTTCGCGAGCCTTAGAGTGCTTCTTGTTTTGAAATGAGCTCTTACATTAATCCAAGATTATTTATCATCATTGGCCGCTTATCTCATGTGAAGTATTTTACTGTTTTTTTTT